ATGGAGCACACTACTATAATCCTGGCTACTCAGGAGACTGGGGAAGGAGGATCACAAGTTCAAGGACAGAGGTAGCTCAGTGGTATAATGCTTGCTCAGCATGTGCAAGGTCCTGAATTCAGTACCACACACACACACAAAAGGAGATTACAAGGGGATTGACCATGTGCCAACAGAGTGCCCTTGTTTTCTCTTTTGAAGTTTGATTCATGATAGTATGAATATTCTCTTTGATACAGTCTTTATTAATTTTTTCTTATAAAAGATAGTATAGACTTAAATACTTATACTAGTAAATTTGTTAGAAATTTCTAAGCAGTATTTTCAACCAGGAGCAGTTGGTGTTTATAGTTTTGTGTTTTGCAAATAAGCTTCTTTTGTCTGCTTTGTAATAATATCCTTCCAGGTTTCTTATTGTGACCTAGAGATAATACATATACATATGAACAGAGCAAAATGGTGGGCATGTTTATGCCAATCAGATAAGTAAATAATTCTAACAGTTGATGAAAGGAGTTGGCAAGTTTTTCTCAGATTTCCTATTAGTTTTTGGCCCTGGCAGGTTGAAACAAAAGACCTGGCAGAGTGACTAGGGGGGCTGCTGAAGTCCTTGCAAAGTGATTTCTGTATCATCATCTTGTGAAGAATGAGGCATTGGAGAATATTTGGATGAAGTTGGTGGCAGTTTTACTGCTACCATCTCATTCTACTTTGGGCATCTAGTTGTTTCTGCCACATTGTCACTAGTGGGGAAAAAAGCTGTTTATCTACTCTGCTCAGAAATCATCTGAATTGGTCATGTTTTAAAGAGCAAGGATGTTGGTCAACCCTGAGACTGAACTTTGGTTACTTATTCTAATTTGAAATGATGTTGTTCATCATAAGATGAGCAAGATAAACTAACAGAAAGCTAGCAGTGGGGATAGGTTGAGGTCCCCTTGGCCTCAGCCTCTGTTTTGCACCTGTGGTCCTGCTAGGCTGTGATGTCTAGGGAGGCAGAAGCTCTGTCTTGTTCACCACTTTTTCTCCAAATGTAAATGTCCACCATTATTAGTCATCTCTTTTATATTCTTTGCTACCAAACTGGGTTTTTCCTGGATTTAGTACACCACCTGGCATAGAGCAGGCATTTAATTTGTTGAGTTAATTGATTAATTGTTTAATGTGTGATTAAAAACCAAGCATAAAGTGGGGCACAATGGCACATACCTATAATACCAGCAGCTCAGGAGGCTGAGGGAGGAGGATCACGAATTTAAGGCCAGCCTCAGTAACTTAGCAAGATGCTAAGCAATCTAGCAAGAACCTGTCTTACAAAAATAAAAAGGGCTGGGGATGTGGCTCAGTGGTTAAGTACTCCTGGGTTCAATCCCTGGTTTAAAAACAAAACAAAAAATCCAAGCATAAGAACAGCTACAAAGTAGGTGACTCTCATAATCAGTTGCATTATGTGTAGGGTTTGTTTTTTGAAGGACAAAGGCATAGGAGAAATCCCACCAGATGCCAGTCTTCACATGGTTAGTGTTGATTTATGAGGTGGTGGATAGAGGGATATGAAGGTATCCTGTCTTCTTCCTCTCCCCACACCTTTCTTGTATCTTGGGTGTCACCATCAACCACCAGTTTGTCCCCTGGATGCTGCTGTTCTCTGCTACTCAGAGATATCCAGTATCAGTGGGTGTTTAGATTGCACCCACTTTTGGTAAACATTGGGCTTCTGTTCCAGTCGAGTGAATTTGTTGCTGCAGCAGGTTACTGGTTCATGGGATAAGGTGCATGAGACCCTTTGAGAGGAACTTCAAAATTGGATTCTAGAATAGTTTTGCCCATTTACATGCTCACCAAGGGCATGAAAGAGTGAGAGTTGTAAATATAAGGTGGCATTTAGGAATTATTAGAGGCTAATAACTGCAGTTTCCTGTAAGCTTACAATAAAATTGAGGATAATATATTCTGTGATTCTTTTCTCTCTGATGACTTTAGCCAGGAAGTCACTTAACTGTCTTACCTTCCCTGGGATGAGGGTGTACTTCCAGGGGATTTTGGAGCAAGAAAAAGTAGCTCTCTTCTATGGGTATATGTTGGTTCTAAAGTGTTTACCTACATATTTGGTGGATGCTCAAAAGTCTTTACTGAACTTACTCTTGTGGTTCAGCTCTCAATTATAAGCATTTTAGAAATAAAGGGGAAGAAATGAAGACGTAGAGGCTGAAATCAAGGCAGAAAGAAATCAAGTGGATCTAGAAGGAAGTGGGGAATAGTTTGTGCAAAGAAAGGGCACCCCACAATGGGAAATAGATCCAGTGTCGTGCCACAGGGCTGAGGCTGTGAGTAGGAAATTTCATAATGTGTGCAGAATGCTGGCAAGAGGATGCACTAAAATAGAAGGTAGCCATGGCTGGACATGGTGGCATGTGCTTATGATCCCACTCAGGAGGCTGAGGTAAGGGGATCCCAAGTTTGAGGCCAGCCTGGGCAACTTAGGAAGGCCCTGTCTCAAAATTTAAAAATTAGCCAGGTGCAATGGCGCACACCTGTAAGCTGCTCGGAAGGCTGAGACAGGAGGATCTCAAATTTAAACCCAGCCTTAGCAATTTAGCAAGGCCCTAAGCAACTTAGTTAGACCCTGTCTCTAAATAAAATACAAAATAGGGCTAGGGATGTGGTTCGGTGGTCGAGTGCCCCTGAGTTCAATCCCTGGTACCCTCCTAAAATTTTTTTTAAAAGGCTGGGGACATAGTTCAGTGATAGAACAACCTTGGGTTCAATCCCCAATTCCAAAATGAAAGCCAGAAACCAATATGGGGCCAGTCTTGACAGTGAAATTGTCACTGGGTGGCCAGAAAAGTTAATTCCTGGAATCTCTTTTCTTTAGCAATAGCATGAAGTTTTGACCTAATTTTGTGGACTTAACTATTTAGACCAGGCAGTGACAGTCCCACTCTGGATTTGGAGAACAGAATAGCACACATAGTCTCTTGATCACTGCTGCATTCTAATGAGATGCAAGCTATCCTCTCCAGTGACCTGGATCAGCTTGCTTGTTATTTCCCATCAAATTGCAAGTTATAATTTGAAAATATTGGGTTTGCTTTTAATTTTGAGAATATAAATGTACTTGTAAGAGCTATAGAAAAGCCCAGGATTTATTTCTGTTCGATTGTCTGCATTCTTGGTTATGGTTTTCCTATCACACACTTTCGCCTCACAAGGGAAGTAGCAGCAGTTAGAAGGCTGAATTCTACACACAACCCTGAGCAGGTGATTTAAGCTCTCTGAGAACACAAGTTTCTCATCTGCCAACTGTAAATAAGGTCTACTTTCCTTCTACTTATGGGGTTGTTTAAGGGCATAAAATGGCAAAGGAGGTAAACTGGTAGGGTACATTTTGGTTTTAAATTGTCAATTTTTACCAAGAGCCTGATTCTAGCCTAAGAAAGAGAGCTTTGGGGCTTCATTGTACTCGAATTAGCTGCACCTTATCCTCACTTTAAAATTAGCCTTTCTGTTTCCTTTCATGTCTTTTGACCCTGCAATAATAGCTGCAGGTAGCGAGACCAAATCTGAAAAGATGGATTTTGTAGAGCCAGAATTAGCTACGTGTGAAGAGAAAAACAATCTGATTAAAACAGTTCTCATCAGGTGAAAATGACCTACAGGAATGACTTTATCGGGGTTATTTACATGTTTTTAAGAGATATGCCATAAACTGCTAACCTGAGTGAAATTCAGGTTATTGTAGGCTTATGAAGTATTGATAATTTGGACTCATTTCTTCCCAGCTCAATGTTTTTGGGGTGGGGAAGCGATGCATTTATATAATTTTGCATTAAGTAGCAATTTGTTTGGGCTGATGTCGACAGTTAAATTGATTGCAGTCTGCAGATGAGAGTGTCTGTCTTTCTCTTACCATCTGTGTACATTGTTCACCTTTTCCATCTCATCCCAAAATGTGGGGTGGTTACTTGGTTCCCAAGTGTTCCTCTCCTGACTCAGACGTGTTGTGGACCCCTAATTTATTCCACACATCAGATGCTCTTCCTTCTGTTCAGAGATGTGTTTCCTCTAATTGTAGATGGGTTTTGAAGAGAAAGCTGGTTGTGATTTAAAAGGCCAGTCTTTTCTTACAAATTCCACAATATAGTAACAACATGGACCGGGAAAGACTGCTTTCATACCTTTTTGGAGTTTTCTTCAGTTTGCCCATCACTAGATCAGCAAACTTATTCTTTAAAGGGCCACCTAATTAATATTTCAGGTTTTGTGGGCTACACAGTCTTTGCCACCACTACTGAACCTTTGTGCATGAAATCAACAGTAGGCAATATGCACATGAATGAGTGTGGCTGTCCCAATATAACTTTACAAAAACAAGCACAGTTTGGCCCACAGGCTATAGTTTTCTGACCTCTGTTCTAACATAATATAATTCCAGTGACTTAGGAGGCTGAGGCAGGAGGAATTCAAGTTTGAGGTCAGCTTCAGCAACTTAATGAGACCCTGTCTCAAAATAAAAAATAAAAAGGGATTGGAGCTATAGCTTAGTGGTAAAGCACCCCTGGGTTCAATCCCCAGTACAGGAAGGAAGGAAGGAAGGAAGGAAGGAAGGAAGGAAGGAAGGAAGGAAGGACTTAATATTTTAAACGGAATGGAGAGTACTAAATTTTAAGTACCTTCAAGTCAAATCAAGGATAGATTTTTAAAAACAATTTGTTTAGGAATTTACTGACAAAAGACTGTATTATTCTAGTTTTTAGTACTTCCTTACACTATATGCCTTTAGAATAAACTAGGCAAAATCTTGGCATTAGACCTCGGAAATATTTGTGAGTATGCACTTTTCACAAGTAATTATTCTACCTAGTCTGCCTTTTTTTTTTTTAACATTCCACTGTCAATATAAATTAATACCACTGACCTAATGCCAACTATATGCCACTCTTAGAACTGGAAACTGGATTAGAGAGAGAGCAGGGAAGGACTAGGAGAGGAAAGTTTACCTTAGATGATCCCAGAAGTCAACGGAGGTACCTTGAGAAGCCCATGCTGCTTCATTTTTAAGATCTTCGATTACAGTACTTTGATTCTTAACCTTAAAAAATGCTCCTTCAACTGTCTCAAGCCATGTGGAATATCTATTACTGCTTAGGAATTTGCTGTGGTTTTTCATTGATCGTGGCCTGAGACTTTGGAATACGTATTAATTTATTTGGGCAGAGAGTGCGGAAATCCACATGCAGAATAAAGTGAACTTTATGCTGAAATAGAATCTTGAAACTTGGAATGATTAATTCTTAAAAAATGAACCATCAGCATTAATAAAAATTGAGTTCTAAGAAGGTATTTTGCAGTTTGCTCCCTAAAGTACTGAGGTAATTTGACTGACTTCCCATTTAAAAGTAAGGGCTGTCCCCCCCCCCATGAACCCCCCCCCTATGAACAATATTTGTTTAGAGTCATTGGTAAATTATTAATGTGCATTCCAATGCTTCATGTTTGAAATACCAGTCCACCCTGTCCATGGGGATTTGATCTCACGCTGTAATCAGCAGAGGGTTCTGGGAAGTGAGAATAGCTGTGGTTTGCTCTTTTAAAGACCTTAAGAGAGAATCAAAAAAGCAGTGGTTATGCAGGAAGTAGGCCTGCTTAGTGTTTGACAGCTGGCAGTTTCCATCTCGAGTCATATGATGCCAGGAACTTGGAAGGAACACTAAATTGTGGGAAAGTTTGGGTGGGCCTCCTCTCCTCCTAGAATGTGCTTCCAAGTGTTCCTGAAGCCCTTTTGAACAGATGTCAAAATCTCTTTGGGTTTGTTCTTACCCAGATGTTTATATTACTGAGTCTTGGGTCTGTTTTCCTCCAACAATGCACGTGTGGGGTGGCATTTGGATATCTAATGAGCTGGACTGGACATATTGTTTTGAAGATCTCTGGCCTTGGCTGCAGGCTGCTTTCTAGTTGAGGCTCATTAGGTAAGTCACTCACCTCTGTAATTCCTACACTGAATGGATAGGCTAGCACAGTGACCACATCATCATGTTGCTTGGTGATGATGAGGAGTGACACACCAGACTGGCATGAAGCCTTGGTGGTGTCTCTCCATTTCATAGGACATGAAGTAGCTTGAATGCAAACTGCATGGGGGAGCCAAGCAGACAGCCATGTGCAGCAGGTTATGTTTTGATCAGGTTCATATCTGAATAGCTGGAATCATGTATGTCCTTTAAGTTTCCTGGCTTGTTTTCGTAAAATACTACTGATTGTACTATTTCATGTATGACATGAATGGCACATCTGGGGTTTCCCAGAGATTGTAAGATGAAGTTTCTGACAGAACCCCCCCAGGACCCATTTGTTCAATTGTCTGGTCAGTTGCCAATTCAATAAAAGTGGGTGGAGTTTTTTTTGTTTGTTTGTGTTTTCGTTTTTTTCAGAGCTTACAAAGTCTTGAAGGCTTGAGCCTGGGAATGGGTAATGTTCTCTTGTCTCCTGCAGAATCTCTTTTTCAGTCCACATTCCCTGGGAGGTAGCACAGGACCAAGTGGAAGGCTACTTCCCCAGGGTAAGAAAGCACTATTCTGTTCCCATCTCCTCCTACCTTTGGTATGAGCAAAGGCCACATTCTGCAAGCCTTTTACTGCCCAGGAAACATGCAGGGGTGAAGGTTTTCTTACTCTCTGTCTCTGCTGACATCTCTGTCACCTGGCCTGTGCCTGTTGGGGAGAGTGCAATAGAATTAGGAATTCAGTTACCTATAGAGCTGCTGGTGGTGGTGGGCATGCACCAGCCCCAGCATCACCTCACTCTTGCCACTTACCATCTTCTTCAGAGAGGTAGGAGACTTGCCCCTCCACTGTTGGGGAATCTCAGATTTGTCCAAGATGCATCAGGAAAAATGGTAGCCCAAACTAGCCTATCTTTGACTTCACTCCTTCCTTCACTCATACTCCCAAGACATCAGCATGTCTTATCATTTCTACTTGTAAAGACACATCAAGTCTGAGATCTTACCTTGCTCCATAGCTGCCCCCATTTCAGTGACTCAGCATGGTGCTTCTCACCCAGATGGTGCAGAGAATTCCTAACTGATCTCTCCTCCTCTACTCTTGCCCTCTTGCAGTCTCTACATAGCATTACTGTTTGTAAAGTAAATAAATGCAGATATTTATATAACGCTTACTGTGTATCAGCACAGAAGGGGATATTTAGGACTAGATTTCCTGAAAAAAATTTATGAAGTGCCTTTTTAAAAGTAGTTATATGAGCTGGGAGTGTAGATCAGTGGTGGAGTATCCTGGGTACAAATACTCAGCACCAAAAGGAAAAAAAAAAAAAAGAGCAGGTATACAGAGAAGCAGACAGGCACTGACTCTTGCAGTGACCCAGGGCTGCATTGGTTGGTAGTGGGTACATAAGAACTGGAGGCAAAATCTTACATTGGTGCTGATGAGAATCAGATTATAGACTCCTGCATGGAGATCTGCACTCGTGAAAAAGTCAGCTAGGAAAATATCTTCCCCTAAAGGGGGGAGATATTAGTTCTTTTTTCCTACTGAGGCCCCACCCAGTTTCCAGTTCCTAGTGGTGCAGGTAGCTGACTGCCTAAAGCCCAGAGCTCAGGATTGTCCTTTCCCCCTTTGTCCCCTGACTGGCTGTTGTACCAAACTTTTCACATACAATTAGGGAGGTGGCCTTGCACTCAGCCAATGCCAGGTAGACTCTGACTTGGATGCTTGTCAGGTTTCCAGAGTCCTTTCTACTGTGTTCACAAAGGGAGGGATTAATGTAGCAATTACATCATCTTTAATTAACGCATAGCCATGAAATACACAAGTAACAGTGCCTATTTTAACACAAAAGAAGGTCTATAGACAAAAAAATAGAATGATATAATCATGAAAATGTAAATCCGCTGTGTAGGAGTCAATTAGGCTCAGAGTATGATTTAAATATCAACAGTTATCATCTGTTTGTGACATTGAAAAGTATCTCGTGATTTCGAATTGAAAGGCAGGTTCAGCCTGACCACCCAAGTAATTCTGCTGTGCAAATTCTCAGAGGAAGTGAGAATTATTTGTGTATTAAGAGGAATATATAGCTCTCTGGGTTTTTCTTTTTTCTTTCTCTTTTTCTTTTCGTTCTTGCTTTTACTTTTTTCCATTTAAGCACCTGATAATAAAAATGTACCTACATAAAAGAGGAACCAAACCTTTGAGTTTGATTAGCATTTGGTGTCTAAAGAATCTAAGACCCTGAAAAATATGTGGTTGATTTCCCTTTTTCCATTACTTGGAAAGTTCCAGTGGTTGCCTACTGTGCTTTCAGAGGATGTCTTTCTTTCTTTTTCTGTATTGGGGGTGGAACAACGCAGGACCTCCTCTTATGTGCCAGGCAAGTACTCTACCACTGAGCTACCTTCCCAGCCCTTTTCAAAATTTATTTTGAGACAGAGTCTCACTAAGTTCCTGGAACTGGCCTTGAATTTGCAACGCTTCAGCTTCAGCTTCTGGAGTTGCTGGGATTACAGGTGTGCTTACCACCATGCCCGGCTTCAGAGGATTCTTGATGCTCCCATGTTCTAATTCAATGGGCAGCCCCAGTCATAGGTCATAGAGGTTAGAGCCCTGCGGGGCTTGGAGATAAATTCATGTCTGCATTTGATAGGTGAGAAAACAGAAGCCAGATATTGATAGTCCAAAGACTTGCCTGAACTATAACATTGGGTCACCATGGATGCCACACATTCAGGAGGCAGAACACTTTACCTCTGCTCAGGTCAATTTAATGGAAATAATGATTAAATTTTAATAATTCTACTTGCAAAAAAGATAAAGAGGAAATGCTAGATTCATTTTTTTTTTTAAATAACTGTATGGCTTCATGAAAAAAGGCTATCAAAGTGTTTGAATATGTACATTTTCTTTCTTTTTTTTTCTTTTTTTAGTTGTAGTTGGACACAATATCTTTATTTATTTATTTTTATATGGTGTTCAGGATCGAACACAGTGCCTCGCACATGGTAGGTGAGAGCTCTACCCCTGAGCCCCAGCCCCAGCCCCCTGGCTATGTATATTTTCTGCTCCTGGTGCTGGGAATGGAACCTATGGTCTCCCCCATGCTAAGCATGTGCTTAGCACTTATTTCTCAAAGGGTATGTTATTGGATTATACTGTCGAATTCCAGAAAATCCTGAGTTAAAATATCTAAGTCATCCCAACCAGCGGTTTATAGTGGAGAGATGTACTAAGCAGCAGATCTCACAGCCTGCTGACTGGGACTCCGCAGGAACTTAAGGCCTTTAGTCAAGCTGTGACCATTTCCACAAAATCTCTGGTTATGTCATTTGGAGATCTTTTTTTCCTGATATAAAAGGAAAATTGGGTTAAAGTTGTTAAACTCTGTTGAAAGGAAGATGGGTCCTCAGTTGAAAGGCATTTTTTTTTTCTAAAAAGCTTTAGAATGCTAAAAACAAAAATTCAACTGTTCGAAGTTTTACAAATGGGAAGTTAGTCAGATGGAGATTATCTGGATTTTTCTTCATGCCAGAGTTACTCCCTGATAGGACTAAGGTTGTTAGGAGTATTTTCACATCTTTAGGATAAAAGGCTTCATTTGACTCCTGAAGTCCACCCATCAGCCTAAAAGAAGCAGCTGCAGCCTTGAGCATTCATTCATCCAACCAGTAATTCTGGGGCCCTGCTATGTGCTACCTTCTGTGAGGTGCCTGGGGTGGGGAGGCAGCCGTCACTCGTATCTTGGCTTTGGGGAGAATGCCCCCTTAGACTGGGGGAGCTCTGTCTGGCAGCACCTCTGAGATACTTCTTCCCCACCTTTTCCTCACTGTGAACCAACCCACATATACGAGTATCCTCTAGGGCTCCACCATACCTGCCCAGCTCGGAAGATGGCCTGATCTTATTTTTTAACCCTAACTCAGAAGCAGGTGACCTATGACTTGTTCAGAACTGGGTTCTCCACAGATGTGATGAGGAAGTAGGTATCACCTTTCTGGCCATGCCCCTGATAGTTTAGGGTTCTTTAAAATTTATTATTACTTTAAAAACAAGTATTCAAAGTTGCATGCAGTAGGGGGAAATCTTCAATTTCTACTACTGCAGAGTCTGAGGCTGGAGGATCTCAGGTTCAAGGTCAACCTAGAAAATTAATGAGACCTTATGTCAAATAAATAAATAAATAGCATTCTCTTGTATTTATCTCATGATTTCAGGATTAAACTGTTTTGGCTGACATTTGCACTGTCATGTGTTTACAGAGGTATCACAGCAACAAAGAGTTAGGTCTGAGTTTTGTTGTTGTTGTGTTTCCTTGTCATGCTGGGGATCTCACTCAGGGCCTTGCACATGCTAGACCAGAGCTCTATCAATGAGATAC